TACTATGGCCGACTCTTCTGGGAGTGGGGAGATGGCATCCGTGTGCACGACTCCCAGAAGCCCCAGGACCCGGACAAGCTGTCCAAGGAGGATGTCCTCTCCTTCATCCAGACACAGCGCCTGAGTGCCCTGGGACACCCCACCCCTGCAGAATGTGTTGTCGTTCCCTGAGACAGGGTGCTCTGCACCTGGGGCCTGCGGTGCTGGTTTCTTCCCTCTCTCGGAAAGGGACTGGGCAGCACCGCAGCCTGGCCATCACAGGCGGTGGCCCCTCTCCATACCCTGAAATGCTCAGGCCGGGGCTTTCAGCGGACACTCACACGTTCCTTCTGGGACGCCTTCCGCCTGGGAACTGTTCCCCCTTCCAGGACTCAGCCGGAAGGAAGCTGCTCCTGAGGCAGATTTGAGGTCAGTGCCCAGGGCACATGGAGCTGGTGGACGTGTCTGAGAGCAGCAGAGCTTTGCGCTCTGCCGTTCTCTCCTGCATCCTGTAGACTCACTTTTCTGAGTTCCATGCACTGCCCCTGAGGGTGGCCAGGCCCCTGCTTTGCCCAGCTTTTTATTGGGCCAACCCTGAGTGGGCAGAGACTCACTGTCATGAGCGGGCCAGGAGTAGTTGCTGTACAAATCGAGGTTTTGTTTCTTTGAACTTGCTGTTTTGATGCCAAGTTGGAGATTTTCTTGTCTCCTCCCCCTATCCTGGCCTTCCCTGGAGTTCTTGCCAGCCCAGAGCTCCGACAGTCCCAGCAGGCTGGGAAGGAGGAGTGTGGGCTCCGTGTGTCTTAGGATCCAGGGAGCAGCTGTGTTTGGTCCTGGGTGTGACTGCCTCCTGGGGTGTAGAGCCTGTCTGGGCCCCAGTCCCTTTTGATCCAAGCGTTGGGCAGCTCTAGAGGGCAGGATACTGCCTTGAGGACCTGCCTCTTTCTCTCCCCCAGCAGCAGTGGCCTCCCAGTAACAGAGTGTACCCCCGGGGTCCGGGTAGCACTGGCCCTCAGGCCGTACCACTGTCTGCCAGAGCCACCCTAGGGTCTTGGCAGAGTTTCGGGCAGGAGGTGTAGCTTCTTGCTACCCTTTCCTTCCCTTTTTCTTCCCCAGTAGGAGGCACAATCTGCTTTTGTTTGTCCTTATGTGGTCACTCCATTTCCTCTATCTTGGCAGAGGCGGAGAGGGAGGAGGGGAAGCCGGGCAGTAGCTCTGGGTGGGGGAGGGCATCTGTGGTTATTTTTAATGGGAAATACCTCTCAGAGATGTTCAGGCAGGCTCCCTAGGGCCCCATCCCAGTGCCAGACTGGTTTCCATGGAGATAGGGCATGAGACTCCTGAGAGGTTGGAATTGACTCCACCATGGGGGTCCTTCAGCCAGCATCCAGCCCCCACCCCCCAGGCTGGCAGCAGCACTGCTGAGATGCTGTGTTTCCACCCAATTCTGGGTATATCAGTGTGTCTTGCAGAATCTTGGATCATTAAAGACAAACATATTTTTAATGCCTGTGTGGCTCTGTGCTGGGGCTGCTGCTGTTTGTCCTCAGTGCTTTGTGGTCTGGGACGGGCTTGGTTGAAACAGCTTGGCCTGGAGGTGAAAGGGAGGAACTACTCCAAGAAGAGGGGAGAAAAGAGGGTTTGTTTAATCGCAGCCCGTCCAAGCTCCAGGGCCGCTGCCCGCTGCTGAAGAGGGACCCCAAGGAGGAGTCAGGGAAATTGTGCAGCTCGGCTAGACGCAGGGCCTGGAGAATGGATGAACCCACAGCCCCAGGAGGCCAGAGAGGCACCTGCCCCCCCTTACATAAATCACACAGCTCACTCGAAGGTGGCACTGACAATCCAGGATCAGCCTGTGTGACTAAAATAACAGAAGCGTCAGACCAATTAGTGTCACTAGACAGAGGGAAAGGAGGGAGGGAGTGATGGTTTGCTGACCCTGGCCAGCCTCTTCCCCTGTGGAGGGCCGGTTCTGCCTGTACAGGCGCTGCAGGTGGGGCGGGGGACGTGCAGACGCTCCGGGCCGTAGTTTCTCCCGGTTAGTCCAGCTCGCTGGTGCTGGTTTCCCTAAGGCCTGGCTGCACTTTGCTGGGCTCCTTCATCCTGGCCTTGAGGGTCTCTCCTTGATGTCTCACAGCCTTGGCCCCCAGGCGGCTCCTTTCCTTGTTTTTACTCAGTTGATTTCATTTCAGCCGCCGAACCCTTCCTTACTCTGCTCTGCCTTGCTGCGGCCTCCCAACCTCCTGGCCCCAAGCTAGGAGTTGAGAGGTGGGGGGGTGTGCTCAGGGGTGCGGGGTGATGTCTGTGTTTGCTGCTCTGCCTAGGCTGCCCCTCCAGTCAGCCCCACCCCCACCACTTCTCACTGCAAACCCCGCCGGATCTCCTGACACCTGACCACTGTCGTCGTAAGTCTGTCTGGTCATTACTCGCAGGCCTCGAGAGCCCTGCCTGCCGCTGGAAGATGGATTAACTCTGTGCTCCCCTGGGACCTCCACATGACCACTTCAAGTCCCCAAGTTGCCCTTCGCTGCACAGGCTGCATTTTTTTCTGCCATCATTATAGGCGATGGCACTGAATGGAGGGCAAGACTGTGTTTGGTGAGAGGACAGACAGGTGGCACAACGTCTGCTGCTCAGCCCCAGCAATGCCCGAGCCCTGGAAGTGGATCCCAGCACTGTTTGGGCTTGGAAAGCGCTTCCTGCTGTCTCCTCATTTCCCACTTAAGCTGGGGGCCGGCCTTCGCAGCACCCCCTTCTCCCTCCCTTCTGAATTCTAAGCCAGAGCTTTCCTCTGAATGTCTCTTCTTGATTCCTGAGTGCCAACCCTGCCACCACCCTCCCCCCGCCCCATGCAGCCAGATCCTGACATTTACTCAGCAGACAGGAGCAGCCTGGTGTTCTTTATTGCCTCTCCCTGGGGCTTAGGGAGGAGCCAGCACCATGTCCTTCTGGAGACCCAGGCCCCAGAACAGGCAGGGAGGCCAGAGGGGCTGGGCCAACAGGAAGCCACGCTTGAACGCCCAGGCAGGGGAAATGCCCCCAGCACCTTGGTCCTCGTCAGGCTTGAAAGCCTGCTCGGTCCTGACAAGAGGGCCGAGGGGAAGCGCGCTGGCTGTGGGGAAATCGCAGGTCACGTGGTCCAGTAGGCATAGACGAGGGTCAGGAGGATGAAGATGGCCACAGAGAGCAGCATGTTCTTCCGGTTCTCTTGCCGAAGCAACTTTAGCTCCTTCTCTGGGAGGAAAGAGGGTGGGGATGGGACAGGTGGTTAGACCCATCCACGGCTCTCGTCTGCCTCTGTCTCTCCCTCTCCAACAGGTGGGCACACACACACTGCCGAGGGCAGAGGTGTCCCCTTCCAGCCGCTTCCTTACCCGTAAAAATGGCCTTGTCCCTGCCCAGATCCTCACACCCTTCTGGCTACAGGTCCCGGCCTGCTAAGGTCACGCCCAGTGCTGCGCAACCATCTCTTCAAATGCAGTTGAAGCTGGGGATGGGGCAGGTGAGGGGTCACCAAAAAGGCCACACCTGAAAGCAGAGCTAGGAGGTGGTGTGACCTCACCAGTGAGTCTTCTTGCCTGTCACGGGGTTGGCTCTGTGGTATTTATCCTTCCAGGCATCTCATCAGGCCAACTAGACACTCTGCGGGCAGCTGGGACCTCCCTGGGCCTGACGACGGAGTAAGTGCCAGGCAGGGCCACATGTGCCTCCTGAGTCCCTGCCTCTGCCGGGTGCCCGGCTGAGCAGGAGCGAGGGTGCTAAGAGGAGGCAGTTTGTGCCGATGAGGCAGCTGGTGTCAACCCCAGGGAAGTCAGTCCCGCTGTTCTACAGCCACACCTGTGCCGAATCATCCCCTCCATGTGACGTGCAAGTACTTGTGAGGCCTCAGTTGAGTGGTGATGTGATTTTGTGTGAAAATTGCTAAACTTGGGAGACCGATGCTCCACCCCTACCTGTGAGAGGCAGGGCGAAGGAGGAAGCTGCAGACCAGCTCTGGCAGGCCACGCAGCCTGGGGCCCAGGGTACCCACCCTCAGCCCAGCCGTGTGTAGCTCCAGGTCGGGGGTGGGGGTGCGCCTGGCCTCCGCTTGGCTCTGCCCCCAGTGCCCAGAAGGTGGCAGCATCGCTCCACCCACAGGAGCCTTCCCGCACCCAAGTGGGAGGTCCGTCCTCCTTTACCCCCTCTTCCTGGCAGGGTTTTCCTGGGAGGGTGTGGAGGGCAGGGGGAAGTGGGGGGCAGGACACACCTCCAAAGTCTGGGTGGATGTGAGTCTCTTCCGGACCTGGCTACAGCCACACCCCTTCTTCCCAAAGAGAAGACAGACCCATAGGCCATCTCTTGTCCTCCCTTGGAACAAAGGAGCAAACCTGGCTCTCCTCCCAGGCTGCTGGGCCTACGGTGGGTTTCTGTAGCCTTTTGGGGGGTGGCACCCTCCTGAAGAGCCCCCTTGCTCCCTGCCACCTTGTCAGGTTCCCTGGGCTGTCTGACGCCTCCCAGCCCTTAGGGGTTGCAGGTTGGGGCTGGTAACCGAAGGGAACTTTCTTACCATAGTTAGAGGCTTTGCTCATCAGGCTGTTTTTCTCCTTCTCCAGAGACCTCCTGTGAGGGGGGAAGGAGTTTTACGGCTCAAGCCCCACTTCCTTTTTCCCACCTGAGGGGTAGCCGGCACACCAGGCTGGACAGGGGGACAAGGGCTCAGTTCTTGGTAGGCAGGGGACTGAAGCTCAGAGGCCAGAGACCCAAACGCTCTGTCTCAGGCCGAGTCCACTTTGGGGACCCAGGAGAGCTATGAGGGACAGGGGCAGGGACAGGGAAGGGGGGGTGGCTGGGCAGCAGCATTACCTGGCCTCGGGACTCAGCTCCGCCTGGTGGAGCCTGGAGCTCACAGCCTCCAGATCTCTCCGACACTGGGATAGCTTCTCCTCCAGCCCATCGATCTGAAATACACCGCAGACAGTGGCGGGCTGCAGGGCCTTTTAGCTTTTAAAACACCGGATCGGCTGGCTGGGCAGAGCTGCCCGCCCCCACACACATTAACTTTTGCTGGGCAGGGCACCCAGGCGTGCTTTCCCTGGAAAGAGCAGTGGGCATTACCCGGGGTCTCAGCTGTCCTGCCCTCTGAGCCAGGCACAGGTAGGGGGTGGAGAGGAACAGCCCCCACAGTCGGCTCTGTCTCCCCAGCACAGCGCCCCACTTGGGCCCACAATAGGACAACCAGAGCCCTGAATGCAGCACGCACCTGCCTCACAGGTGTATCCTGCAATGAAGTGAGACGCTGTGAGAAGGCTCGGTGGCTTCCAAAGCACTCCACACACACACACACACACACACACACACACGCACGCACACACACGCACACACGCACACACACACACACACGCACACACACGCACACACACGCACACACGCACACACACACACACACGCACACACACGCACACGGGGGGCGGGCAACTGGGCATCTGGGGGCCAAAAAGCAAAGGTGTCTTTCTCATTGACATACTTCATCTTATTAGAATAATGGAGTCTAAGTTGTAAGAATATATATATATTTATGAGAATCAATAAAAATTACTAAGTAAAAAAAATGCAATTCAGGAACACTTCTATTTTTTTCTGATTTGATCCTTGTGCAAAAATGTCGTCTGTCATCAAGGTAGTTGTGATTCGTGTGGCAAAATAGCTATGGTATCTGTTCTCCCATTTGTTCGACTAGAGTTTCAGAGATGTGTTCTTGGGGAAATACCTGAATTGTGGGAAAATGTTTTGTGAAATGCTGGACGGGGTTGTCTGCGCCTGGGTTGCGGTATCGTGCACCTGGCGCTCAAACTCCGTCTCCCCGTCTGTCTGACTCAGTCTCCGGGAGTCTAACTGGCCACCTCTCTGGCCCAGGCCTGCTCTGCTGCCACCTCAGCCCTGTGGGCCAGAGCCTAGATTTCAGTGGCTGGGAGGGCTCAGAGGTCTCCATGTCCCTCCCAGCAGCTGACTGAACAGTGCCCCGTAATGCTAGGTTTTCCATCTGACTTCACGCGTGCTCCCCACATCCCCGGGAGGGACAGCAAACACGACCTCCACTTCACAAATGGGAGAACAGGCCCCTACGTGGAGTGACTTTTCTGAGGAGTCAGAATGGGGAACGCCTCTCCTTCTCGGTCTCAGCCAGTTCTCTGCTCCTTTCCCTTCTGGAGCCGCAGGGACAGTAACTGATGCCCGCACGTGAGAATCCCTGCCTCCCAGGAAGGCCGCACAGCGTGGGAGCCCGGGCAGGCATTGTGGGGCAGGGGCAGGAGAGTTGCATTCCAAGGGTCTGGGCCTTCTCTCCCTCTGCCTGGCCAGCGCCCATCTCAGCCACTTCTGCGCCAGCCATTGTCCCCCTTCCTGAGGCCTGGCAAATGACACGCTATCCACCCCCTTCCCCGCAGCCCCAGCCACCGCCAGCTCCAGCTCCGTAAGCAGGGGCCTGTGGGAGGGAGCAACTGGAGAGCTCTGAGTTAATTGCCTGGTTAATCGTGTCATCTCTCTCTAATGGGTACCCAAAGGGAGGGCTGTCCTGGGAAACAGGCCCAGCCAGGAGATGGGGCTGTCCCTGGGGAGGCCCAAGGCCTTCCTGGAATGTGCACTGCAGGGACACGCACGCTGACTTGATCGGGTCAAGCCAGACTCAGGGAAAGCCGCAGCTGATGCGGTGCTTCAGGCCACCATGCGGTCCACCCTTCCCAGCAACGCTCCCCCGCACACCGCCCAGCCCTCGGGACCTGAGGATGGCCATTTCCTTCTTGTGGTGTAGAAGCCACCATCAGGGCGCCAAATTCCACTTAGGGTCCCAAATAGAGCTTATTTCTTGATGCTCTACCTCCTCCATGAGGCCTTCCCAGCTGCCCTTGGCTGGAGGGGTTCTGCCCTCCTTCCCCTGGCCAATTAATCAGCCCTTCTCTCATCAGGCCGAGCATATTCTAGGTTGCCCCCCGTTTGTGTCCAAACCTCATCTTCCCAATTCTGGGAGCCCCTATATGCGTAACCTGGCAGCCCACAGACTGGCCCATCCACGTGTGTACGTGGCTTGCCTGGTCCCTGAGGGTGCCTGAGTTGGTAGCTCCTGTCACAGTGCCATCTGTCTCCTCTTTGTGCCCACCACAAGGCCTGGCCTGGGACAGTCTGTGTATTTTTAGTCAGAATGAGTGGGGTTGGGCATGGGTGGGACCAAGGGGTTTAGGTCTCATGTGGTAACTGGGGTCTGAACCGCCCCTCATGCCCAGAAGCTGGAGGAAGCTAGAAGAAGAAGCAACTACGCGTGCACATCAACTCCGCACTCTGGACTCCCCAGTGCAAGTCTTAGTCCTAGGTGAGATTCCTCCCTGCCGCCCCGTGGGCCAGGCCCTGGTTTGCCTGTCATTCTGGGGAGGGAGCAGGTTGGGCATTTCTATCCCTAAACACCTCTGGAAGGCTACCAGGTGCCCAAACAAGTGATAATTGCCCCAGAGCTACGCCAGGAACTCATGCTAAGCAAAATCTTAAAATTGAGATTGGCAAACCACAAGTGGCCAAGCCAATCTCCCATCATGTTCTGGGCAGGGCCTGTGGAGCTGGCAGTCGGGGGCCCTTCATCTGAACAAGTCCAATTTATCCGCAGTTCCACTGAATAGCCCCACTTTCATTTGCCACTTTTTAATGAGGCTTAAATGGTCAAACACAAATCAAGGTTTTAGGGACTCGAGTTCTAACCTTCTTCTATGAATATTTATGCCCTGCTGACAGCTCTCTCTGATTCCCTTCTAAATAGCCAGCTCCCCTCTTTACAACACAGCTGCTGGATGTGGGTGGAGTGAAGGGAGGCGGAGGCTGTCGGGAGGCTCTTCAGTAGGCCACAAACCCATCCTCAGAAGGTGACCCTGCTGGGGCCCCAGCTGTGGGCCCCCTCCCGGAAGCTGGCAATCGAACACCCTGCAGCATTTGCTAAAGCAGAATCCGGCTCTCGAGCAGCTGTATAATGGGCGCAGAGACGCTGGGGGACCTGGCTGCAGAGGCAGGGAGGGTCAGGATGCTTCGTTTAGTTGTGACTGGGGTCAGGAGGGGTGGCTGCAGAGCAAAGCTGACCCAGCAAGATGGGCCCTGAAAAGTGGGAGAGGATCCAGAAAAGGGCCTTAAAGGAAGTCCCCGGTTGGATTTTCAGTCAACTCTCAACTAAATGTACATGGATTATGCCTTTTGCAGATTACCCAATGCAAACCTGTAGTTCTTGGTTTGCTTTCTCCCTGCCACCAGGCTGAAGGCAACAGAGGACAAGACAGCCAGGACCAGAACAGAAGACATAGGGGTTAGGACCAGATCAAGAGACAAATGTCAAGATGATTCCAGAAATGTAAGGCTTAAAGCTGGGCAAGCAGTTGGGAGCCCACGTGCATGGAAGCCTGAAATTGTGGTTCCATGTTAAGTGGTAGGGAGCGTGGGCTATGATCAGCGCCCCATCTCTGTCACTCGCTTGCAGTGTGACTGGGCGAGTGCCTTAGTTCTGTGCCTCAGTTGACTCCTGTGTAAAACAAAGACAGCCATGTTTCATATCTCAAAGCGCTGGGGTGAGGATGCCATGAAGCAGTCCAGGTGAGGTGCTCAGAACAGTGCACTGCATGGTAAGAGTTCAGTAAGCGTTTGCTATCATTATCAGAGAATGGTTTTCACTGGCTCTTTGGAGAACAATAAGAAACTGAGTTATTTTGTGGCAAGAGTAAGAGAAGGTGATAGAAGGGGCTGTGAGGTGGAGAGGAATCTCTATTGGCTGCTAGCTGGCAGCAGAGGGAGGGGAGCCCTCTGGCCTAGACGTGGCCATTCCTCTGAGTCCATGGAGGGGTCAGCAGGGGGCCTGCAGGGTAGACCATCAGACAGCAACGCCTCCCTGCCCAGCTGGCTCAGGGCACGGCATGCTGGGAACCTCATGATCCTGCCTGGGGATGAAGCTGGGGTGGGGCTCTGGAGCCAGAGCAAGTTGCAGGTGCGGGGCCTGGTGGACCTGAGGATGAGAGGACTGCAGCAGTGTCCAAGGCAGAACAGACGCAGGTGAGGTCTGGGCACCAGTGGGCATCTGAGGAAATGTGCAATGGCAGGTGGAGCCTGGCAGCCAGCGTCAGGGTTCACCCACACCATGGCTCTAGGGGGCTGGCATCCAGCTAAGCCGGGAGCAGGCATGCGAAGCCCAGGGACTAAGGCAGAAAGAGGCCCAATCCCAGGGATCCGACCAAGTGGGAAGGGAAGGTTACACTCTGAATGCCACAGAGGCTCACGGGACTCTCGTGCAAGAGGCTGGATGGCAGGCGAGTGGCAGGAAAGAGCCCTGGCTGGCCCACGACTGGCTCAAGGGCTAGGACTTGTGTGGAGCTACGGGGGCAGCATTACTGGCTGTGACTGTCACGGGCAAAGTGGAGACAGCCAAGGCAGGGACCTAGATGGCACCCATGCAGGCACAGTGTGGGGACAGAGAGCAGCTAGCCCCAATACGCAGTAACATTAAGAGGTGTCTGTGTGCTTAGTTTAGAAAACCAAGGTCAATTTCACAGGGGGAAAAGAGTACTGTGCCTCAGCCATGGAGACAGCCGGCAGGTGAAAGGCGGCTGCGGGGCGCAGGGCACCCTGGGAAGTGAGAAAGGCGGTACTGTGAATTTCCCACGGGTTAGCAAACTGGGCCTCTGGCACCTCGCACACACTGAGGCCTTGGTAGATGTGTGCAAAGCCTTGTGCAAGCAGTTCGGGGCCCGAGGAGCAGGGGTGAGTGTGCACAGGGTCCTCATGGAAAGTCTGTTCTTGACCCAGAGACCTGCCGTGGGCACCGCTGGGGAGTGTGCCTAGGCAGAGGGAGGCAGAGCACCAGGGAAGCGGAGGGAGAAAAGAGGCGTGCAGGGCAGGGCACGGGGCAGGAGCCTCCCTCAGGCAGCAGGGGCCGGGAAGA